TGAACAGAAAGAGAAAATTAATTTAAAAATGAAAATTTCAAACTTTTGAAACTTAAACATTTTCAGTGTAACATTATGGTGTAAATTTTTTTTTTAAATATACTAGATGTTTCGTAAGCTGAAATTTTACCCTTCTTTAAAAACATTACTATATTAATATTATATATCTGAAATTAATAAAGTAGAATATTTTATCAGGCGCGTAGTCATAGGAAATACCATACCCTATACTGACAGTAAAATATTACGTGTTTACCTCCCCCTGCCTCTCAGGACCATTGCGTAATTTAGGAACGGCCCCTTTCTCATTTGAATTCATTATCAAATATTACCATGTAATCCCCTTAATTCTGTTTATTGCAACTGCGGTTAACGTGAATTGAATGCACCCGCAGTTGCCTGAATTTTCATTCAAGGGAAATTACAGAAAATCATTCACTGACTGTAGTGGGTTTTTATTTTTTCTGTCACAGCTAACTTTTTATCAGCCGTAGTAAATGTATTAATTGCTATAGCAAATTTTGTCAGCAAATCCACTGCGCAGGAATAATTTTTTAACATATGTATTAAAGTTCATTAATATTTAGAAATGTAAACGTACAGTGAGTTTATAATAAAGTTCCACTTTAAGTTTTCAACAATCTTATGTTGTAAATTCGTGCCAAAGTGACAATCCAAGCGATTAAAGTTTGAGTGGGTTCAATTGGTTGACAAACATATTCGTTTATTATTCGTTTTTGAAATCTGTGTCCTTCCATAAAATTATTACTCTGAGCGCTGAATCAAAGGAGTAACCGTGTAAAGAAAAGATGGAAAACGGTGCGAGAGCATCTATTTACGAGTTGTCCGGCGCCGCTATGTCCGGAGTAAAAATACATCTTGGTTTCTAAGCTGTAAGCCACCGCACAGAAACACTCTGTGCTCTCTGAGAGCTACACTGGTAACACTTTACTTCTGCAGTTCGTTCCTCTGTTCATTGGAGGCATGCCAAATTTCAGCCCTCGGCCTCTTCGCATTCAAAACTTTAGCTCCAGACCCATTCTTCCATTTGTCTCTAGACCATTATTTCAATGTTGCAAACATATGCTAAAGACTAAAAAGAAATTATCTTGAATAGATAGTAAAAAGAGCAACTTACTCTCAAAGCAAATAAATTTTCATTATTTTAATATTAAACTCAGTCTATTTTTAAGCTCCTTGTGCTACTTTTACGAATGCTCTCTTATTTTTGGATATCTCAAAATTAGTCATTTTCTTTTCTTACTTCAAGAAATCAAACTGACAAATTACTAAACTATTTTTCTCGATCTTTTAATTATTTTGATAGTTCTACTAAGAACCGAGATGTTAAATCAATAGATTCGTTGTTGTATATAAATAACAATATATCCCATATAATTTTCGAAATAGATATCATTATCTTCCTATTTGATAATGGAATAAATTCTTTTATACATTTTTAAAAAGTTGAATTTCCATTGGCAAAATTAGAAATTTACTACTTTTAAAAGAACTTAAAAAATATATCGTGTATGAAGCTGTTTATTAAAAATGTGAATAAAATTCGAGACAGGAATAAACATGGAGAAAGATTGTTTTGCAGACCGCTTATGACGTCAGAGTTCAAATATATACTATACTCTGTTCGACGAGAGAATGCCTTTGTAAAATGACGATTTTCATTCTTTTAACGAAGAATGTCATAAAAGTGAAGGGTTGGCGTGGATTTCAATCTTGGACCACCCCTTTTTAAAAAAATTATGTCCATTCGTGGCCTGCACTCACCCTTTAATATAGACTTGCGATTAACTTTTGCTCCACAGATTCATGAGGATTCTAAAAAAGGCAAAACTCCCTAACTGCTGCTCGGTATAAAGATTGTTACTTAAAATTTTCCCTCACCCTGAAAGAAAAAGAAACTACGTGAAGGAAGGCATTCTTTCGTTGAACAGAGTATACAATACAGAGACACGTGTTGATGTCAGACTAAATTTCTTCGACAAAATAGACTGATACAATGCCCTGCCTAACTGAAGCTGAAAACTAAAAGTGTTCAGTGAGAATCGGTTGTGCAGTAAATGCAATCTTAAACTGTTCACACCTCTTAAATCAAGATTTTTTAGTATGAACATGTGTTTATTTTTTTTTATTTAAAACGAATTAAAAATAAGCCTCTTCGGTTCATTTTGAACGTATCAAAATGAAGCAGACAAGATTCACTTTTAGAATTGAAAATATATCATTAAATAACGAATAATTTTGTAGGTACAAATAAATAAATTTTTTTTAAATCCACAGAGTTTTAAAATACAGTTTTAAGAAAAACGCGTTTAAAGTTTTTTAACAGTATAATTTATTAAAGATAATTTAACTAAAATATTTATTTAACCTTTTGAAGACTTAATTTAAAATCATAATGAAGAATCACAATTTTTTATTTTTAAAGAATATTTCAGCGAAAGTACTTAAAAAAGCCTTGATTTCAGACCATTTTTGAGACTGATTTCATTTACACGGAAAGAAATCTTGTTAGAATATTTAATATTTTGACACTCATATTTAGTATATTAAGTAAATTAATTGTATTATGAAAACTCCAAATGTTAAATTCTAATACGCCCTGTAACAAGTATTAGAATAAAATATTTCATTTTCTATATTTAGAATTCCGTTAACTGGTATAATCATTTTACATTTTGATATAGTCGATAAGAAAGTGGATTGGTGGTAAATCCTTATATTTACATATAATACTAATAGAAACTTTTTCTTTCAAAAAATGATAGAAAAATATCAAAAATCACCGAAGTTTGACGAAGTTAAGCGAGTGAGTCCGACCGGGTTTGACCGATCACTAACGTGTAGTCACGAAAAAAAAATGTCAGAGAAAAGTCAGGGAATTTTTTTCTTTAAGCCTTGCTGGACATCCTGATTTTAAAGTAATTTTTAATACTGCAATATGAATTAAAAATAATTTGAATTAATATTTAATAATAAAATACTTTATTTGTTTGCTCATAATTTTTATATAATTTTTATTTCTGCAATATAGACTAGAAAAAGTTTTGATAAAATTCTTTTTCTAAATATAATTATAGAATATTTGTTATAAGTTTTGTTCTATAATTAAATTAAATGATTTTATGATAAAAATTGTTCTTTGAAAGGTAATAAAATATTTTATTATTTCTTAATAAATAATTATTTTTATTTTTAAATATTTAACAATGTAACATTAAGTTTCTCACAAGTGCAGAAAAATCTGTCTATTTAGTATATAAAGAAGTTCAGAATTTCTCATTTCAACATGAATTATGTATCTATATGCGTTGCGTTTATGTATGCGTATTGTAGTTAGGATGTGTTAGGAATAATTTTAAGCCAATCAAAGCGTACCAGTTATGTGTGTGTATTAAGAAAGACTCCCACTACCCTCGAATAGAAAAGGAGAGAAAATCTTAGAAAAGAGCCATTGGTGGTTCCGACGTTCTTCTTTTTTTCACGGCTCCTGCTTTTTCGTATAGTTTTAGCAAATTACGAAATATTGGTTCTGATTTTTCATATAAATTTAGTAAATAACAATGTGCTAGACTGTTTACTTCCTATACTGTTTTTTCCTAAAGGTTTTTTCCATATTCGGAAACTGTAGATTTGAATTAAGAAATAATAATTTCAGTTTTCGTAAAATGTTTCCAGTTAAAGGAATTCGTAAAACTATACCAACTTTTATTATCAAACCAGAATGTTTCGCAATTGAAAAACAAAAATATCAAAATTTCTATTCAGATTTATTAAATATTCTAACAAGATTTCTTTCCGTGTATACATAAACGGAGTTAGCCCAGCTGGACAGACTTTGTTTTTTACATTGTAGTTAAGGTTTTTTGCCTGAAAACTAAACTTTGGAATTAGAAATAAACGAGATTAAATGAAAAATATATTGTTAATGTTCAGTATGGTGTCTAGCGCAGCGATCAGGGTAGTCATGGAAAAGTCACGGAACTTTTTAAAAATTTAAAAAAAAATCAGAACGAAAAGGTTATAGAATTGGAAAAACTTTTAAGTTTTGGTCATTACTTTAAGTAAGGTTATAAAAAAATGTTACATACTGTAGGAAATTTGTAATTTTAACAAATTAAAAGGGGTTCTTTAATGAATTTAATGTTTGTTTAATTAGATGCGTTCTATAATTCCATTCCCGAACAATGTTTACTTAAATACTTGACGCAAACTATATGTAATATAGGTCAAAACAAGTAAACAACTGTATTAAAAAATATATTTCAGAACAGAATTTGTCAGTATTTTTTTTTAATAACCATATTTCAGATTTTACTTTTATTTTCTATAAAATTTCCAATTCATTTTCACTAAAAAAATGTTTCGACATAAGCGAGTTACCTTATTAACCCTAGACAGTACACTGGGGTAGAAAAATACATTTAAAAAAAATCAAACTTGGGCATTTTTTGCAGATTTTGTGTTTTTTTGTAATTTTTTGATATTTTTGATACTATCAAAACACAAAAAACGCTACCTTCTTTCTTATAAAAAATGAAGAAAATGACATACCTAATAAAGTTATTTGGCATTAAATATAAGTATTCTAGCAACAAAATAATTTTGGGGTGTTTTACTACCTCAGTTGTTGCCAGCTATGTTGTACTGTCTAGGGTTAATTTAAACTATGTCATTGAACTCATATATGCTTAATTTATTTTATTTATCGTTAAAATTTGAGAGTATTGGAACTCACAATTCCTGTATATTCACCATGTATGCCTTGCGTGAAATCGTGTTTGAATGGCCTTTCAATACTTTTTTCACCAGAAACCCTAATTTAATTATCGGAACTAAATATTTGTTATTAGTTAGTTAATGTTGTCATTATTAATCTTCGAAAATTAAATATTTCAATAGCTTGTTTGGAGTGGTTTATGTAGTTAATAATTTATAATTATTTGAGAGATACGAAAACTCACAAAGTTATTTATTTTTAGTCATTTAACAAGAACAACAACATGGGAGGATCCTCGGAAAACGGCAGCAGCAGCAAGCGTGGCGGCAGTAGCGGCAGCCGTTGAAAGCGGGAAATCATCTACAGGAACAACAAATACTCTCGGGCCGTTGCCGGATGGATGGGAGCAGGCACGCACGAATGAAGGAGAAATTTATTTCATCAATCACCAAACTCGAACGACTTCTTGGTTCGATCCTCGGATTCGTAAGTTGCTGTGTTGAAAAATTCTTAAAACATTTCTAGCAATTGATCTTTTGCAAATTTTTTAATTAACTTTTACAATGATTCATTGATATAATAACTTCATTTTTGTAGCTACTCATCTTCAGAGAGCACCTACATCAGGTGCAATGTTGCCACAAAACTGGCTGCAACAACCAAGTGGTGGAGGCATTCAGAACAATCAAACTCTCCAGGCTTGTCAGCAAAAGTTAAGACTTCAGTCATTACAAATGGAGCGAGAGCGGCTGAAACAACGTCAACAAGAAATTATGCGCCAGGTTTAAAAACTATGTTTTATAATTGTTGAAATTGAAGTCATTCAATTTTGTAAAATTTACATGTCCTTTCAACTTAAATATAATTATGATAAAATCCATAAAATGTGGGTTCCTACGTGGAAAACCGAATGGGACCGCATATAAAATTGCCCACACAGCACCCAAAATTCCCTGAAACTTGACAGAACCTGACACGGCGAGGTTAGGAAACTTCAGTGGCAAGGTTCACACAAGTTTAAATGTTTAAATGTCCACATGAAAAGAATATTCACACGAAACTTTGAGGAAATATTACACTATAAATATTCACGTGCAATGTTTAGTCAATGTTGTGTCAATATTGACATTACATTTTCGCCTAGTTATAAAAATTTCGTTTACTAATATAATAAGTATAGGTGAATATTGACACAACATTGACTGAACATTGCACGTGAACATTTATAGTGTAATATTCCCTCAAAGTTTCGTGTGAATATTCTTTTCATGTGGACATTTAAATATCGACACAAACTTGTATGAACCTTGTCACTGAAGTTTCCTAAGCTCGCCGTGTGAGGTTCTGTCAAGTTTCATGGAATTTTTGGTGCTGTGTGGGTGTATACGTATTTGGAACAGGAATTTAAATAGGAAAAAACAGGAATTATATGAATGGCCTTTATGAAATCTCAGGTAAATTCCTTCTTTTAACTCTGATTCTGATATAGGAGGTTTCTCACACATTATAGAGAAAATATACTGCGCAGCCAAAAAAGTTGTAGAAAACTACTGCGCGGGATTTTGAAACATAGTGTGAATTCATATATAAATCTTACTCTTTTTCCTGTTCAAATTCCTGTTCCATATACCTTTAAGGTTTTTTTATTTGATTCCATATAGTTTTCCACCAGGGTAGAGTAGAATCTTAATATACCGAATAGACAATAGTCTTATTTTAAGACATTGACAATAATTTTTAGAAACATAAGTAACGTAAATAAGGGGAGCTTCACTCACTTCCCTTACAAAGTAGGGTAAGGTGAGGAATGAGAGCGCCTTAAGGAAAAATATAAAAAAACCATCTTGTTGTTTTAATAAAATATTAGTTCCAACACTTTTAACTCTTTTTGTTATCTATCTTTAATATTTGATAATATAAACTTAAATAAAAAATTCTAACATTAACTTTGCAAATAGAATATGTAAAAAAATAATATTAAATTTTGCTATATATTGTAATCATAGATTAGTATAAATGACCGAACGACCATGTTAAATCTGCATTAAAAGTGGACCACTTTTTGGTACCTGCTACACATCAAAAAAACACGAAATTGGACCTCAGCTAAAAATTCCAGTTCCATCATCCTTAAGGTATCACATCGGTAAAACCGTTTTCTATAGATTTTCTTGAAAATTTTACCATATGTTCTTATTATCATTCTTGACAAATTTGCAAAATATGAAGAATTTTCGCCGTACGAAACCCGAGATATTAGCAATCAAAGTTGCTTATTTTGTATGGGAGACGGGACTAATGTATGGGGGAGAAGTACATTTTCATAAATATCATCAGAAGTTTTCTATAAATTTTTTTCAAAAACTAATGTTGAATTCACGAATAAATTTGGAACTAAAATATACCAAGAAATTTATAATTTACCGTGCCGTTTATTTGTAATTATAAATTAAAAATTCTATTTCATGACGTCATTTGCAATATATAGCACACCCGCCACTTTGATGTGGCAACATCGCAGGATGGTAACATTAGTTAGAGAGAGACAGTAGTCCACAGTAGTCAAAGCGAGACTTATAGCGACGTTGTCAAACCTCCTACTCCTTCCAATCGCTGCTAGTGTGGGGTATACGTGTACGAGTGTATTTGTAGAAGTAGGTACAGTATGGGCTGAGAGTATAGGGAGTTGAGGGCGAAAATATAGTGCGGGAAGTAGTAATGCGAGCTACAAACTTTTGACTCCGATTAGTGCCGCTGTGATACCTTAAATGATCCCAATAGGTTCCTACATAGGATCCTTAAAGGTTTCCTGAGGGATCCTGTTAAGAATCCTACGCAGGATATTAGACCAGGGATCCTGTGCAGGAACATTAGTTACCTTGGTTCCTCTGCAACTTCCTGTATCTGAAAGTTTAAAACAAATTTTCAAATAAAAATTCCTGTACATGAACCTCCACAGGATCCCATGGGTCTTGTTGCGCAGTAAGTTTCTATGGGTCATGCGAGTGTTTCAAACTCAGATGGTCAGTCAGCCATTGTGAAAATTTTGAAAATAAAGAGCTTTGTATTTTTGAGTTCTGTTCCACATACTTCCGATTTTTCCCACTGTTTACACACTTCCCACATGAGCGCTTGTGTTTTATTCCATGATACTTAGTGGGTAATGAAAAGTGGTCCACTTTGTACGTCGTTTGGTCTCCTTATACTACTCTATGATTGTAATAATTAGAACGATAAATCTCTTAGACTCATGTGAAGTTGGCAACAAAATCTTAAAAAAAAAATCCACAATGAGTTCTGGGTAGATTATCAATAGTTCTAGAGTTTTATAAGTTTTAATTCAATAGTTCCGTAGATTTAGACCAGAAAATATGATATTAAAAAAATAAGGTGCTAACTTCACCCAGCACTATAATTTTCGCAAAAAAGAGTTCTGACATATTATTCCGATAGAAAATACAGAGTTCTAGAGTTCTCTTATAAAACAAAAAATAGTTCCGCAAAATTTAAAAATTTATTTTCCTACACAAGATTTTTGTCTAAAATTTTGAGGGATGATAGATTTTGGTACAAGGAATCTCGCTGTTCTCCGAAAAACACATAATTTTGCGTTAAATTATTAAAAAATGAAGTTTAAAAGTTGCATTTTTAAACGAAAATGAAAACAAAGATGGCGGCGCATACACAGACGTTGCTTGAGTGTGTCAGTGCTCCAGTAAACAGCGCCAACTCAAGCTAGTGGCCGCTGAATGAACTATGATAAAACACATTATTTTACTATTTATTGCCTTATTTTTATTATTTTTGCGTTAAGTTGTAGTAAATAAGTAGAACAGCGAGATTCCTTGTACCAAACTAAATCATTTCTCCCAAATTTTAACCCAAAATCATTTTTTATTTCAGAGAAAGATTCAAACCACAAAAAAACGTCCTTCGCCACATACCCTTAACTCAAAATCAAAACAAGTACTGAACTTTGAAATTTTCGAAAAAATTTGAGTTCTCATGAGTTCTGATTAGAGTTCTGGCATCTTCATCAAGAGTTCTACAACTTATCTTTATCAAATTTTCCTCTAAATTCAAAATCAAAAAAAGTGCTGAACTTTGAAATTTCAAAAAAAAATTTTTTCATGCAAACTCAAATTTTCGAAAATTTTAAAGTTCAGCACTATTTTTGATTTTGAATTTAGAGTAAAATTTGATAAGGATAAGTTGTACAACTCTTAATGAAGATGCCAGAACACTAATCAGAATTCATAAAAACACAAATTGAAAAAAAAAATTTCAAAGTTCAGCACTTTTTTTATTTTAAATTTGGAGTAAAATATAAGAATAATTTGTACAACTCTTTTGATGAAGATGCCAGAACTCTTATCAGAACTCATAAAAACTCAAATTTTTTTTTAAAAATTTTTGAAAATTTTAATTTTCAGCACTTTTTTTTATTTGAGTTTAGAGTAGAATTTTATAAGAATAATTTGTTGAACTATTGATAAAGAGGCCAGAACTTCGGTCAAATCGACTAAAACTTTAAATTTTTAAAATTTTGCGGAATTATTTTTTGTTTTATAAGAGAACTCTAGAACTCTGTATTTTCTGTCGGAATAATATGTCAGAACTCTTTTTTGCGAAAATTATAGTGCTGGGTGAAGTTAGCACCTTATTTTTTTAATATCATGTTTTCTGATCTAAATCTACGGAACTATTGAATTAAAACTTATAGAACTCTAGAACTATTGATAATCTACCCAGAACTCATTGTGGATTTTTCATTTTTTAAGATTTTGGTGCCAACTTCACATGACTGTAAATATTATTATAGAACTCTAAAACAAATCTTGAATTTTTATTCTAACAGCAAGAATTAATGCTACGACAAACAACAACTGATGCTGTAATGGATCCATTTTTATCTGGAATAAATGAGCAACACGCACGTCAAGAGAGTGCAGATAGCGGTTTGGGACTGGGGTCTGCTTATTCTCTTCCTCACACACCTGAAGATTTTCTGGCCAATATCGATGACAATATGGATGGAACAAGTGGTCAGTATTAACACCAATATTCTACCACCACACCCTTCGTACTATTATTTTCATATTCTCAAGAAAAAACAAAGAGTGTATTAGCGCTTCGATAATAGTATCTGGACTGTTGAGAACGTCAAGACTAAGTCCTATTGAAAATCCCCACATGGGATCCTATGTCAAAAACTATGTTTTACCCACTTCCATTAAGGAAACCATATGGTTTCCCATGCAAATCCCCATGGAAAATTGAGACAGGATTTGAGGTAGGAAAAAATTCAAAAAAATTCAGTTTCAGTTTTCCCCAAGTGAAATCCTTTATCATTTTTTTTAAATTTTCCCATGGCAAATCTCATGTCAAATCCTTTTTCGCCCTGTTAAAAGTCCCCACATGGGAAGCCACTTGGGAATCCATGTGGTTTCCCATGTGCCCAACCAGCACGAAAATTTGCAGCAAACTTGCAAGAAGCTTGCTGTGCAAGTAGTGCAAGGTTGCAGTGCAAACATGTAGCAAGTTTGGTGCAAGCAACAAAATGTCCTCTTGTGGCAAGCTTGCAAGACAACGTTGGCGCAAGCTTGCTGCAAGTTTGCAAAACTTAATACGATGCGCAGTTGTAAACGGAAGCTCCTACGGCTGCACAATAAATTTTTTAACCTCCAAAGCAGGCTTTATGTTTATTTAGTAACAAATTGTTTCGAAAAAAATTTTTTTTTTAGTATTGTACAAGTTTGCAGCAAGCTTTATGCAAGTTCTCTGCAAGCTTCCTTAACTACCTTGCCACAAGAGGACATTTTGTTGCTTGCACCAAACTTGCTACATGTTTGCACTGCAATCTTGCACATCTTGCACGACAAACTTTCTGCAAGTTTGTTGCAAGTTTTCGTGATGATTGGGTGGGGACATTCAATAGGGCGAAAGACGATTTGGAATGGAAAAATTTTTCGAAAAAATGATAAAGGATTTCACTTGGGGATTGATATTGGAAAAATTATACTAAAAAATAGAAAAAGGATTTGACATGGGATTTGACAGGGGAAAATTTTTCAAAAAAAAGGAAAAAATTTCACTTGAGGATTGATATGTTTAAAAACAAGCCGTATAATCTGTATGAAATTTTTTGTTTTTCGAAGAATTTTAGACGACACATATTTTCTTATTTAGCTAAAAACATTTTTTTTTAAAAAGATTTAAGGATTTTAATTTTCTAAGTCTGAAACGTCATTTATTTAAAATTTAGGGAAAAACTTTAAAGTGTTATAACATTTAAAATAATTTAGATATCTAATTTTTTCGTTTTGCATTTGAAAGAGCTTTCATTTTTCTTTCAAAATCCGTTGGAAAAATAAAAAAAAATGTTAAAAAATAACAAAATGTCGGCTATTTTGATAAAAACTTTAAATTGAAATTACTCAAGAACCCCACTTTATTTTTTGCTCAAAATTTTTTTGTGGATTGTCTTCATCGTGAAGAATATTTTCTATAAGAATTTAACTTGTGTTCGATTCTGGTAGAAGGAAAAAAAATTTGTTTGGTAATTTTTTAAGAAGAGCTCCATTTTTCTGAAAAAGTAAACTAGTTATAAAAAAAATTCCCTTAAGAATTAAAATAATCCTAAATAAAGTTTCCTGTATGATGAACCAAAAATTGATTTGATATGAACATGTGTTGAAATGTTTATTTTTTGTAGAAGGTGGGGCACCAATGGAAACGCCTGATTTGTCAACTTTAAGCGATAACATTGACTCAACAGATGATCTTGTGCCTTCTCTTCAGGTATAGCATTCATATACTATACTTGAAAAAATTTTCTTTGACATTTAAAATTTTTAAATTCGATAAATTGTAGTAGTAATTTTAGACTCCTAACTTATGTATAAATTGTATAACAATTTAAAATAAAACAATTTTGTCTTTAGCTCGGTGAGGAGTTCTCTAGTGACATTTTGGAGGATGTGCAATCTTTAATAAACCCAAACACCACTAAGCCAGAAAATGTTCTTACGTGGCTGTAATATTTTTCGAGAATATTACATTCATAGCATCAAAACAAAATTACATAATCAATGAGTTTAGACTTTATCAAAGAAATCGTCGCTTCCATCGGGACATAAGTGCACAATAAAATAGTCCGCAACAGGCACGCACACTTATTTTATTGCAAATGTGTGTATGTGCGTATGTTCGCTTGTAAATCAAATCAAGTTAATGATGCAATATCAAAATGAAAAAATCAATTCTATGTCAAGATAAAAAATGTAGAAACGTTGAGTAGTATCGATGTTTTCTCCCATGATGACTTTTTCAAAATTTATTATCAATAGGAATTCAATATTGTTAAATATATTCACGTTTTAATAATAATTTTTTGCAAAGTTACATAAAATATAAAATGAGCACATGAAATTAAATTACATTAAAAAATTCGTTTGCAATCAGACACAGTGTGAATAGCATCGATCAGTTGTAAGAAAAATGTTAATCATTTTAATATTTCATCATTAAAACAAATGTATATAGCTACATGTTCTTTCAATTCTAGCGAGAAATCCCCGTAAAGTTGGGTAAAAGCGCCAATAGATTTGAAATTTAAGGAAGAAATTAGATACACTCTATTTTACCTTGACAATTGTGTCAAAATATGATTACATGTATTCCTGTCGAACCCGCTCAAATTCGGAGTCAATGAGATTCAGATTGTTATTCGACAGTGTTGTAACCATTTTCAGTGGAATAATGTTTGTCCACTGTCGCGTAGTTCAATCGTTTGGAAATAAAAAATGATACAATTTTTACTTGAGATTTAGTCAGCACACTGACAAACGCTACAGTGTTTAACGTTTAAATGGTACATACATTCTTTTTGAGATAATATCGCAAACAAGACTCAAGCATTTCTTTTAGATATGTAGAATCGTAAGTTAATATTTAGCTCCTTTCGCGAGAAAGTTTTCATCAGTCGCGTCACTAAATTTAGGCGACACTTTTGTTTACATAGGTATTTGTCAAAGTGGAAACCTTGACCTTGAATCTTGACTGCAGTCAAGTTCAGTTTCGATCATAGACACTTGGATAAATAGACAATTTGAGTCCAAGGCATTAATGTGGCTAAAAATTCGAATTGCTCTTTATGTAAACAAAAGGTGAAGATGGCAAACCTTCAAACACCGTTAAATGTTTTGGAAAGCAATATGTAGATGATAATTTTGAAGAAGAGGAAAAATGTGCGTGTGTGTATGATTTCAAATGAAATTTTCTTATATGTAAAATCTCTATTGAAAATTCCCACTTGGGAAGTCGTACGAAATCATATAGGCACTACGATTTTCGTAACTGAATTAGTAATTCTCACGTCGATTCCTATGTTTACAATATTTTATGCAACAGAAGTTATATAAAACTAACAGGTCGTTCAAATATGAATTTACGTAGGATTTCATTGAGGAAATTTCGAACGGATTCCCATGCCTAAAAAATTCTACGTAGGAATTTTCAATATTTTCGAATATATGTATGCTGAGACTAACATTTCCTTAAGATTTTTATTCTAAGTACTTATTCATATTGTTTTAATAGTAGTTTAAGGTTCTATTTGTTAAAATCTATTAAATAACGTAATACCTTATGTTACATGCGTCGTTAATGTTGATTCCGATTCAAACCTATTTAGCTTTTAAAGAGAAATTAAAGAATTTCATTTTGCTACAAGTTTAGAGCAAAAAAAATAGATATTTTACTTCAAGTTTTAAGAAAAATTTGGTTTTGGCATACATGTGAAGAGGGATTACTTAATTATTTTTATGCAAAAAATAATGCAAATAAGTAACGAAACTTTCATTTGTAATCGCATATCTGTATGCAGAAAACTACTTTAAAATTTTATTGCTTATATTTTGAAAAAATAATAATCTGAAACAGATTTTGCACATTTTTACTACATAAACTGTATTGTGATACAGCGATTTTCATGCTCATAATATATCTATCTATATATATATATATATATCAAACGACATGTAATGAAAACACAAGTGCCTTGACTTTACAATCGCAATCGCGACAGCCGTCCATATTTTTTATCGCATCAGCGATCATTCAAAAGTGCGCGGCATACTTTAGACCAGTTTAATATTCAAGTATTGAAGTGTGAATGCAAAATATATACAAATATTATATATTTTTTTTTATATATAAAGTCTATAAATGTTATTAGAAATTACCGTTATCGGAAGGACTCGTTAGTTTGTAAAATTTCCTTAAGTTTTGTACTACAGTGAAATAATGCGGCGCTAAAAGGAGGATAGTATATGATGTTAACAGATGAAATACTTAATTACATTTGGCCTTAAGGATCGATTTTTCGAACGAGTTTTTCAATATTGAGTGAAAACATAACCTTCTTACCACTTTTAATCATCTGACATCTTGGCTAAATTTTATTCATTTAGTCTTAGAGTTTTTGAGACTGTTTGTGCCTTACGTCTAAAAAAAATAGTGTTCCAATGTACTAAAAATTTATTTTGGTTGGCAAACTTATGTACAGAATGAAAGAAATAATTTTTCAAAACAATAGTACTTCAATTTAATATTTTAAAAGGAAAAATAATTCCACTGCATTACAATGAAAAATCTTTGTAAAACGATAAAATATTGCAATGCATCTAATCAATGAAATCTTTAAAAAAAATTTTTCATATATGTTTTTCATATCATATATGTACAAGTTTTTTTTATTTATTAAAAACAAGTAATAAAAAGTGACAATACTTTAGAAAACTTACTTAAATGTAAGTGAAAGTATTAAATTCAAAGCATTAAACATTTTTTGTAGAATAAATTCAGAAAAAGGTCTATATTTAGCCTTTCTTTCATTTTAAAATTCGTATTGCAACCAGAATAAGCTTTTTATCAAGTTTTTACTCTTGCCTCTTCCGGAAAGAGGAAAAGTCGCAGAGTGCAATGTGTGAATATTTACGATTCGTCATTTGCACGCTAAGTTTAATGCTCCTTAGTTACAACATTAGTCGTGCGAATGCTTTTTAAGAACATTTTCAGTAAAAGTAAGAGTTTTTTAAATGAAAGGTTGCAAAATTAAGACACATAATTGAGGTTTAGTTTTGAATTTGCAATTTTTAAAAAGGGACAAATTCTAAAAACTTTTGGATTTAATTGTGAAAATTAGGATTTTTTTCCTTATTTAATATTTTAACCTTACTTTGATTTATTTCAAATTTCTCTTAATAAATAATGAAAACTTATATTATTTCCTTAAGCATGATTAAATTTTTTTAAAATTCTGTCTATAATTCGGTTAATTTTGTACAATAAAAATGTTTAATAAAATGTCTTCCTCTATGTGAAACATGATTAACGGATATTATAACTTAGTATCTTTAATGAGATTCTGAAATTGATAGAAGATGCTTACTATTATAACTAATTGGTCAACAAAAGTTTAAAAAATTTGACAAATCTATATTTTTATTTGTAATTAGTGTTTCAAGTATATTAATATACTTTAATGAAAAAATTTTTTAAAATTAATTGCCTGCAAATTAAGTTCAATGTAGGTATGTCTGAGAACTGCCTCCTTGTTGAATCAAAAAAGAAACTTTTTATCAATTATTGAAGAAATTGTATATAATGTATTGGAAAATTGTAAAAAATTTTAAGGAGAAATAAATTTTCTCATTTATACGATTTACTTTTGTAAAAAATAATAAGATGTCAAATGAAATATTTTTATAAAATTGACTTTTAGGTTGAACAACGTCGATAAATCGTTTCTGAAAGCAACATAATGTACGTTGCATCAGCAAGTTTTGTATATTCTTAGAATTGTATTTCTCTGAGAGGTGACTTATTGTGCATAACTATACAATATCTGAGATTATATTTACAGCAAACATGCTATTAGTTAATATGTCAGTATTTAGATTACGCTCATCGGCGACCGTTTGTGACGTACGTTTTTATATCGTTAACAAGTGCCTTAGTAATAATGATAACAATAAATATATTGTTTACTTACGTACATAGCAGTATATTTAATTATCCACACCTTATTTCATATTTTACATACGGGGAAACTGTCAAAAGTTAGATGTTACTATTTAGTGGGGATGGTAGTTTTCACGTTTTTTTCTCTTTCGAAAAAAACTTAATTAAAACAACTTCTTATCATGTTTTTAAATTATTTCTATAATATACACACAAAAATGCGTAAAAATGAATAAATTTTAAGCCCTTTAGATAAAATTTTCTTCGTTTTTGGGAGAAAATTTATGATTTTTTCTATTATTATCAGTTCTTTCCTGACAGCATCAAGACCTTCAACTCTAATCGTCTTCGCTATATTTTTTTTATAATCTACACGTAAAAATACGCAAAAATATATAAATTTCAATTCCTTTATATAAAATGTTCTTCGTTTTTGGTGAAAAAATACAATTTTTCTTGAAAAATTTGATAAAAAATTAATCATCAACTCCAATCGTGACTGGTTTTTTCCCCTATATTTTTCACGTAAAAATACATTTGTAAACTAAATATGAACTGTCTGGGCTGAATATTGTGTGCGCTATTTTTCCTGTAATTTTCACGTAAAAATACATAAGTGTACCAAATTTGAGCTCTCTCCCGGACAGCACTGAAACTTCCCTGAACCTTGACTGAACCTCGCTTGACGAGATTCGGGAACTTGAGTCGCGAGGTCCAAACGAGGTTGTGTTGATGTTTAAGTGTCCGCGCATAATAATGGTCAGTCACAGAGGTTGGCTGAATATTGGATTTGAATTTCTGTTAAATATTAAAATTAAAGATTCTTGGCATATTGTGAGGGGATATTTAAGGAAATTAAAAATTCAAGATTTGTTAAATGTAATCTTTAAATATTCTGGAAATTTAGAAGGAGCATAAATACGGAAAAATAGAAAGAAAGCAAATGAATTTAAAAAACTATTGAAAATTACATTTTCTATGACATGGGAAAGCGTAAATAAAACAGAAATTAATAGACAATCATAAATACAGTTATATTTATTAGTAGTTACATAAAAATTAAATTTTTAAAGGTTTTTTTGAGAGTCTGCAGGCACATTTCATGTGCTAATACAAAATTAAAATTAAAAAAAAATTGAAATTAAAATTAAATGCAAATTTTATTAAAACGAGTTATCAGAATTTTTTTGGCAGAAATCCTAGTAAATATTCTCAACAAAAATTTTATTGAGCCAAAAAAATTCATCCAGAAGAATTTTCTGAGTAAATCATTACGAAAATGCATTTTTTTTGTCTATAGTACAAATTTTGCAATAAACAAAATTTTCTTTTTAAGTAAATCGTTCATTTATTTGAGTTTTTGTTTCATCACACATTGTAGACAACATTTCTATTTGAAAATATTTCTTGTCAAAAGAGTTAAACACTATTTGTAATTTAATGTAATAATAATTTATTACTAATAAATATAACTGTATTTATGATTGTCTATTAATTTCTGTTTTATTTACGCTTTCCCATGTCATAGAAAATGTAATTTTCAATAGTTTTTTAAATTCATGTGCTTTCTTTTTATTTTTCCGTATTTATGCTCCTTCTAAATTTCCAGAATATTTAAAGATTACATTTAACAAATCTTGAATTTTTAATTTCCTTAAATATCCCCTCACAATATGCCAAGAATCTTTAATTTTAATATTTAACAGAAATTCAAATCCAATATTCAGCTGACCTCCGTGATTGACCTTTATTATGCGCGGACATTTAAACATCAACTCAACCTCGTTTGGACCTCGCGACTCAAGTTCCCGAACCTCGTCAAGCGAGGTTCAGTCAAGGTTCAGGGAAGTTTCGGTGCTGTCCGGGCTATGTCAAAAGATGTGGCTGCTAGGGGGGGGGTACATAGTCATTTTTCTTAAAAATTCATGGTTTTTCCTTGACAACGCTATGTTAATTAATTCCAATCAAGTTCGCTATTTTTTCCTGTAATCTACACGTGAAAATACATATGTGTACTAAATTTCATCCCTCTAGATAAATTTGTGTGGTCGCTAGGGGGGGGGGGATACACGATTTCAAAAAAACCGATATTAATAGGGTTCCGAACCGAGTACGGAACCCTAAAAAAAATACCTAACTTAAAAAAAAGTCAAACAAATTTTTGATTTTCAAAAAAAGGGTCAAATATTGAATTTTTTCAAAAATTTTCTGCACCATTCGAAAGAGCAGGAAAAAACTATTCGAAAACATACAGGTCAAATTTTTTCCATCTTTCTATTTAAAAGTTACAAGTCTTCAAAAATTTACTGTTTAAGTTTTTCAAAAACGTACATTTAACCCCTTCCCTCTCATTCAGTTTTGGAAAAATCGTAACAATACATTTCACCCCTTAAATAATACTGTGTTACAAAAAAATTAAAAAACACTTTTTATCGGACCTACTAGAGGTTGTAGGTAACAAAAAACTATGAAGAATGGTATATTAAAAATTTGCTTAACACCCCCAAATTTTGATTTTAGAGCCAAAAAACCGTTTTCACATATATTTATGAATATAATCCCTTGTAACTTTTTAATTTTTCAACTTTAACTGATGTTTACGGCATTAATTATATTTTAAAAATTTTTCTTCTTCATGCCCACATAACACCGAAAGTTTACTAAACCTGTATTAAAGCTGTACGTGTGCCAAGTTGGAAAAAAGTGGCAAAGCTTAATACGGGTTGTGCAAATGTGTAAATGTCCGCACTTGAGTAAACGTTTAGCGTAAAAGTTGCCTAAAGATTTAAATTAAATCTTCGGTAAAGGTTTAGCTTAAAAGTTGCCTGAAGATTTAAATTAAATTAAATTAAGGAAAACTGACAAATACTTAAATTTGCTACTGGTCTTGAAAATAGAAAAACAGCAATAAATCAGTCAATTTTTAAAGAAATCTATTCAAATAGGGCTAGTTCGACGCAGAATTTAGTATGGTTAAATATTACACGAAGAAAGCTAAGATAATAAGAAAATATATTAAGTATAATTATGTTATATAATATATATTATATTATAAACTTTTTTCATAAATAATGATATTTGGATAAAATAGTTTATAGGCCCTGATAGGGTTTGTTAAATAAAATTTACTGCGCAGCCGTAGGTGCCATAAAAAACTACTGCGCATAAATATTAATAAAATTTATTTATTAATAACATTGTAGGCTTACAGTGTAATCTTACAATAACCGTACAGCAAGCTTACAATGTAACCTCCTACAGCTAGACTATAGGGTAAGCTTCCTGGATGCTTACAACGGTCTTACCATGTAAGCTTACCACGACCTTACATGTATGCTTACAGTAAAGCGGACATTTTAAGTTAACAGTAAGTCTACTGACAGTTTACGATGTTACTTTACAATTCTCACATGTAAACTTTCTGTAAACTCGATGTAATATACTGTGCTGTGTGGGTGTACTCTTTGTTACCTGGATAAAAAAATTGGTTAAGACTCTTGATTGATGTGCGATAGGTTCAAAGTTCGATTCCCGCCATGACACAATTTTTTCATTAAATATAAAGTCATGTAATATTATCTAAATAATATTTTAATATTATCATGAGGCGGACAATATGGCTATTTGTTTAAAAAAATACAAGTTTTTCTTTTAAACAAATAGCTATATTTTCCAAACGGTTTGCTTGTTTATTGAAAATTCCCACGGTGAAGTTGTAGAGAATCATTTTCTGACGAAAATAATCAATATTACATTGAAATCGAATCATTTTTAAAAAATTCTGTAGATGCGATATAATAAAAAAAATGTATACAATGTTTTTTGCATAGATCCAGAGCAAATTACGTATACTAAATCTATGGGAAAATCGGTCCAGAAATTTTAAACGATAACACAGGCACACAAAAAAAAAAGTTGTCTGTTTCTTGAACTACACATATATTTCCTATAGTATTTTGGCCCGCTGAAACCGAATCTGAGGTCAGAATTGCTCCATCACCCTCAGTTTTTTTTAAATCGACCAAAACCACCCTTAAACGGACAAATTCACACTTCGGAGATAAAAAATAAATCAACTTATTTTTTAGAAAAACCAAATTTTACATCTACGAAACTTTGCTCCACTAACTCAAAAACAAAGCCAGCATTGATCCAGCACCCCCTGAATTTTTTTAATCGAAAAAACTACCCCTAATCTGAAGAATCAAATTCAGGAGGTAAAACAATAAAATAACTGATTAAAAAATTTTATAACCAGGTATTTTTACTCCAGCAAGGCAGAAACAAATCCAGAAATGCTCCCTCACCCTCTAAATTTTTTTTAAATCAAAAAAACCACCCTTAAATAGAAAAATTCAAATTTAAGAAGTAAAAAAATAATAAATTACCGGCTTTTTTTAAAAACAGAACCTTACATGTATGTAGTTTTGCTTTACTAACTCAAAAAAATAAAGCCAGCATTGATCCATCACCCTCTGAATTTTTTTAAATAAAAAAAACTACCCTTAATCTGAAGAACCAAACTTAGGAGGTAAAACAAAAAAATAACTGATTAAAAAAGTTTATAACCAGGTATTTTTACTAAAGCAATGCGGAAACATACCTGGCTGTAAAATTTTTCAATCAGTTATTGTATTGTATTACCGCCTGAATTTGATTCTTCAGATTAGGGGTAGGTTTTTCGATTAAACAAATTCAGAGGTTGAAGAATCAATGGTGGCTTTGTTTTTGAGTTAGTGGAGCGAAAATACATAGATGTAGTAAGGTTCTGTTTTAAAAAAGTCAGTTATTTAATTTTTAATCTCCTAAATTTGAATTTTTCTATTTAAGGGTGGTTTTTTCGATTTAAAAAAATTTTAGAGGGTGAGGGAGCATTTCTGGCTTTGTTTCTGCCTTGCTGGAGTAAAAATACCTGGTTATAAAATTTTTTAATCAGTTATTTTATTGTTTTACCTCTTGAATTTAATTCTTCAGATTAGGGGTAGTTTTTTCGATTAAAAAAATTCAGGGGGTGCTGGATCAATGCTGGCTTTGTTTTTTTGAGTTAGTAGAGCAAAACTACAAACATGTAAGGTTCTGTTTTTAAAAAAAGCCGGTAAAGTATTTTTTTTTTACTTCTTAAATTTGAATTTTTCTATTTAAGGGTGGTTTTTTCGATTTAAAAAAAATTTAGAGGGTGAGGGAGCATTTCTGGATTTGTTTCTGCCTTGCTGGAGTAAAAATACCTGGTTATAAAATTTTTTAATCAGTTATTTTATTGTTTTACCTCCTGAATTTGATTCTTCAGATTAGGGGTAGTTTTTTCGATTAAAAAAATTCAGGGGGTGCTGGATCAATGCTGGCTTTGTTTTTGAGTTAGTGGAGCAAAGTTTCGTAGATGTAAAATTTGGTTTTTCTAAAAAATAAGTTGATTTATTTTTTATCTCCGAAGTGTGAATTTGTCCGTTTAAGGGTGGTTTTGGTCGATTTAAAAAAAAACTGAGGGTGATGGAGCAATTCTGACCTCAGATTCGGTTTCAGCGGGCCAAAATACTATAGGAAATATATGTGTAGTTCAAGAAACAGACAACTTTTTTTTTTGTGTGCCTGTGTAATAGTATGATATTTATCTTGGTGTATAGATATACATCAAAATACTCCATGACTCCAATAAGTCTACAAAATTTTATGACAGTTTGTCGTCAAAACGCTTTTGAGATAATTTTTTCACAAGAAACAGTGACATACAGTTATCTTAGTTAAGTTTAATTTAAATTTTAATTTACTGTTTAAATGTCTTTCTGACATGTGGAGTAAATGTCTGAAATCTCACTCCTTAGAATAATTAATAGTTATAAAGAATTAAATATGATTGTGTAAAGGTGACATTAAGTATGAATTACTAAGTTTTTTTAACAGTTCTACAATTTTAGTGTTCTGTATTTACAAGAAGCGTGAAGTACTAAATAGTATAATTACTGCGGTTCCCGAGTGAAATATTTAATAAATCTCGACCTCCTTATTGCGGTTAAGAAAATGAAGTCACGTTTGTAAAGCTTAAATTTTTCATATAAAAGGCACAGATAAATTAGATTTAATAAATACTGAAGTTGAACATGCGAGTATTAAGATGGGTAAGATTTCCATTTAGATCTCCACTGTACTGTTTAAAATTGAACGATAAATTGTTTCAGCTCAATATTTTGATAACAGTGACTGTTATCACATCCGTGCCCAGAAAAATACGCCGCCAAGCTGGTTATATTTATCAAAAACCGAATGTGATATTCAAATTACCTTCACCAAATCAAGTGTTACCAGAAGTAATTGAAAGGATTCCAAGTTTTCCATCAACAGTTCAATCATCAATAAATATACCATATTATAATTATCCACCACTTCCTCAGTCACGACCTTCTCCAAGTGGTCCACTACCACCTTTACTGACTCCAGGATATTTACCTCCACCACAACCTCCTCCTCCTCGCCCTTCATACCCAACTTCATCGCCATATAACTATCCTTCTCCTACTGCACCACCACCTCTTCCTCCATCTTTACCGATACCAGGTTACTTACCTCCACCTACTCCACCGCCATTTAACTATCCTTCTCCTACTCCGCCACCACCTGTACCAACACCAGCTTATTTACCTCCGCTTCCTCCTTCTCCTCGCCCTTCGTACCCTACTCCACCGCCATATAACTATCCTTCTCCTACTCCACCGCCAATTAACTATCCTTCTCCTACTCCGCCACCACCTGTACCAACACCAGCTTATTTACCTCCGCTTCCTCCTTCTCCTCGCCCTTCGTACCCTACTCCACCGCCATATAACTATCCTTCTCCTACTCCACCGCCAATTAACTATCCTTCTCCTACTCCGCCACCACCTGTACCAACACCAGCTTATTTACCCCCGCTTCCTCCTTCTCCTCGCCCTTCGTACCCTACTCCACCGCCATATAACTATCCTTCTCCTACTCCACCGCCAATTAACTATCCTTCTCCTACTCCGCCACCACCTGTACCAACACCAGCTTATTTACCTCCGCTTCCTCCTTCTCCTCGCCCTTCGTACCCTACTCCACCGCCATATAACTATCCTTCTCCTACTCCACCGCCAATTAACTATCCTTCTCCTACTCCGCCACCACCTGTACCAACACCAGCTTATTTACCTCCGCTTCCTCCTTCTCCTCGCCCTTCGTACCCTACTCCACCGCCATATAACTATCCTTCTCCTACTCCACCACCACCACTTCCTCCATCTTTACCGATACCAGGTTACTTACCTCCACCTACTCCACCGCCAATTAACTATCCTTCTCCTACTCCGCCACCACCTGTACCAACACCAGCTTATTTACCTCCGCTTCCTCCTTCTCCTCGCCCTTCGTACCCTACTCCACCGCCATATAATTATCCTTCTCCTACCCCACGACCACCACCTCCACCTACACCAACTCCGGGTTACTTACCTCCTCCTTCTTCTCGTCCTTCGTACCCTACTTCTCCGCCATATAACTATCCTTCTCCTACCCCTCGACCACCTTCTCTACCTCCACCTGCACCAACTCCCGGTTACTCACCTCCTCCTCGACCTTTATACCCTACTCCACCGTCATATAACTATCCTTCTCCTACCCCACGACCACCTTCTCCACCTCCACCAACTCCGGGTTACTTACCTCCTTCTTCTCCTCGACCTTCATACTCTACTCCATCGCCATATAACTATCCTTCCCCTTCTCCACCATCCCGCCCTTCATACTCTACACCATCGCCATATAACTATCCTTCTCCTACTCCAGGACCACCTCCTCCACCTGTACCAACTCCAGGTTACTTACCTCCTCTTTCTCCTTCTCCTCGTCCTTCGTACCCTTCTCCACCACCATATAATTATCCTTTTCCAACTCCACCAACCCCTCGTGAACCTTCATATCCTACTCCATTGCCGTATAACTATCCTTCCCCTTCTTCACCATCCCGCCCTTCATACTCTACACCACTGCCGTATAACTATCCTTCTCCTACCCCAAGGCCACCTTTTCCACCTCCACCTGCACCAGCTCCAGGTTACTTACCTCCTTCTCCTCGCCCTTCATACCCAACTCAACAGCCATATAATTATCCTTCACCTACTCCACCACCACCACCACCACCTCCTCCTCCGTCTCCATCTGTACTAATTCCAAGTTATTCACCTCCACTGGTTGTTCGACCAACTCCTAGTCCTTCCTACCCTTCTCCACCTTCATTTAATTATCCTATTCCTACATCACCGTCATCACCACCGAATCGAAGTTATTTACCTCCTTCTTCTCCATCTTCACCACCACCAATTCCTTCTTCATACCCTACTTTACCGTCATACAACTACCAATCTCCTGCTCCTTTACCTTTTCCAGATTATTTATCTCCATCTATTTCTATTCCGGTTAGTATATCGACTCCAGCTCTTACTTATTTGCCGCCATTAAGTTAGACAAATTATGCACTTAAATCCATCGCAACTTGTTCAACTAAGCACTTCTGTTGCAATTGCATTACAGACATTTTTTTATTATTTATTGTGGTTTTACTAATGTTGTTATTGTACATGTAAAAAGGAGCGTTCTTACTAACTTGTAGGGTTAGTAAATGTTATAAAACTTAGAACTATGTTCTATTATCAACCTGACGTCACTTACGAGGAAAACGTTTAATCTTTATTGATTTTTAATCGAGACTTTTTACCACTTTAAGACTAAATATGTATGTATGTATTTTTGTTACTTTGTTCTGCTGTGTATATTATTTACGTAAATAGTAAATTGTTAAATGTTATAATTGAATTGTCAGTAATAAAACATGAGTAGATATGTATAGATATAAAAATTGCAAATTTTTATGATTAATTAAACCCGGTACACTGAAAAAAATTGTATTGAATCAAGAAAATTTTACTTGCTCCAAGTAAATCGTGGTATTGAATGTTAGGATTAGAATTTGATGGGAAATTAATCAATAAAACAAAAAAATGACTTTTCCTTTTACAAATTCCGGTAGACTAATAACATGCCCTTCGGACAGTTTAATTATAAAGATCTATCCACTACCATTCTAATATTCAGAATGTCGTTGAGATTCGTATTCTTAATTAAACATTTAATTTTACCATCTAGAAAAAGAAATATTGAGAACTGGTTTCAATGATAATTGAATTGAATTGTATTGTGAATATTACATATATGGCGTAACAGTTTTAAAATGACGGTAAAAGGAATTTTTTAAAATAAATTCATAATTTTATCTACGAAAACAAAAAAATTTTTTATTTTTTTTGTCACTTATCATCCGAATGTTTTTCGGGTCGCTGATTACGAATCTGATGTCTATTTTTAAAAATTAAAAATAGCGGATCCAATATGGCGGAATTTTTTTTTGAAAATTCATATAATTTTTATAAAACTCGTTACTCGGGAGTTTTTGGGGTCATTGATAACAATTCTAATGTCAATTTTTCAAAATTCAAAATAGCGGATGTCCGTTTTTCATAATTGAAAATGGCGGTTCCAGTTTGGAGCCTGGATTTTAAATGTTATTCACGTTCTTTGGCCATCCTATAATTTTGATGATCCATGCTCCAAATTGGAATCGCCTTTTTGAATTTTGAAAAACAGACATCAGATTTGTAATCAGCGACTCCAAAAACATTCGGATGATAAGTGACAAAAATAATTTCTTTTTTTGTTTTCGTAGATAAAATTATGAATTTGTTTTAAAAAATTCCTCAAATTTTTGACACACGTGAATACAGAGAACGGTGACCTTAAATCTTTGATAAAAAATCTGTTCTTCCCGTCTTTAAGGGGTTAATCATTCTTGTTTATACATAATTATGGCTCCCACAGCACCGAAACTTTCCTAAAGATTTATTTGAAATGTTCGGAATATTTAATTGCAACTTTCCTGAACATTTATTTAATCGGGACATTTAAATCTTTACACAATTTTTACTAAACTTTGCAATTAAATATTCCGAACATTTCAAATAAATCTTTAAGAAAGTTTCAGTGCTGTGGGGGGGATATCATTTAACATTTCATTTACATTTTCAATCATTTTTAAATCTTCATTACTTAAAGTAAAATAATCTTTTACGTTCGACATGGTATTCTTCTTCAAATTTCAAGCTGCTGATAAAGTCATTTCTCAAAACAAATCTTCTATTTCAGTTTCTTGCTTTAAGAAATTTATTTACATTTGTTTCACATATAAAATATTTCATATTTTCATTTTCATATTTCATAATTCATATATATATATATATATATATGAAAGGTGAATTTAACGTTGCTTTACCTTTTTCACATTGTATCAATTTCGATAAAGACTATACACCCAGTAAAAAAGGATTTTTTGAGATAGCAGTTCGGACAATTGAGCAAGCCGTTTGCTCAATTGTCTAAAATGCATTCGGGCAATTGGAGTGTTTGTTCAATTGTCCAATGCATTATGCCCAATCATCCGCAATATTTCTCGTGTCTAAAAAGCTGCTAAAATAATATGAAAAACTATTGAAACATTGAAAAACGGTAGAAAATGCATAATTCTTGATATATACAGAAAAAGAAAGTATAAAAATACCTCGATCGAGGAAAAGGAAAGAGTTTTCCGAAAAATCACTTTTTAACTGACAGCATACTGCTGTACTTGACATTTTATGGGTAAAGAAGAGAAGATTATGATAATGAGTGACATCAGTTCATTATCAACTCTCAATATTTGTCGAATGGTAAAATATAATAGTAGATTTCTTTCTGATTTTTTAAAAAAGGAATAATTATTGAATTAATTGAATTACAAATTTTCCTACTTTTTTATTTCATTTATTGTTATGTTTTTATATTATATTATATTATATTATAACAAAAATATTAAATGCACAATTATAATCATAATACATTTTTTATTAAATTCTCTTTCCATCAAACATATAAACATAGCTTTATATTGCATTGCAATAAATGATTTACATTAAGTATTTTTGGAAAGACGTTCCGGAAACGTTTACACTGTATACATTTTATCAGCTGTGTGAAAATCTCAGGGATATCCAGTGGGATATCGCACAGAGCGGAAATTTGGATATCCTAAAGATATCCCTGGATATCCAAATTTCCATCCACACGGAAAGAAAGTTTGTAGCAATATTTGATATTATGGTGTTACTTTTTAGTATATTTGATTACAATCACTGTTTTCCTAAAAGTATCGTAAAAGTATTGTCTTTGATTTTCTTTAAATTGCACATTGTCTTTGATTTTCTGTTATTTTCATTTTCAAATTAAATAGTGAAATGGTCTCCGCAATTGTAATATTACCAAAATATCTGAAAAAAATTCGTTTAATTTTGAGTCGATTCAATTCGGCCATGATTGATATAAATTGATTAAATTTTTTGCATCAAAAAATGAGACCGTTTCGTGTATCATTTCTAAAAATGATACACAAAACGATCTCTTTTTGATATAACTTATATGCATCAAAACGTTGCAATAGAAAAAGATACAACCAAGTTTACCGTGATTGCGGAACATTTTGGCATGAAAACGATTTTCGGAGATTAAAATAAGAACATTTAATATAGTTGGAAAGAAAATTTGATATAATATTTACGAAATCTGAAATCTTTTTATTGTAACACAAAAATGTCACATTTTAATAAGCTCTTTATTAATTTTTCTAACCAAATATTTCAAATTTCGTAATTAGAATTGTATAAAATGATATAATTATTTCAGATTTTGATATATTAAATTTGTATATGAAGCGTTATTCTGTATAGGTTAGGAATAAAAATAAGCCAATCGTTGTAAAACAATGCGGTGTATGTGTGTGTGTGTGCATTTAAAAGTTCATATCCTCCTCTATCCTCGAGATGAGAAAGAGATAAAACTTTGGCGTAGAATCTATTGGTGTTTCTGTCGTCATCTGTCACGACTGAACCACTTCGAATTTTTAGTATAGTTTTAACAAATTTCGAAATAATCTTTCCAAATTTTCATATAAATTTAGTAAATAACGAAGTGCGCGTCGGTTTAACTTACTTCTGGTTTTTCGTATAAATTTATCAATTTACGAAATAATAATTTCAATTTCTGGAATATATTTACTAAAAAGACTATTGGTAAAAATATACCGATTTTCGTTATCAAACCCAAATGTTCCGCGTTTGAAAAAGAGAATACTAAAATTTCCTATCAGATTTATCAAATATTGCTACTAAATTTCTTTCCATGCAGTGGGCTATCTCAGGGACATCGCGGGATGAAAAAAGGGAAATTCACTAGATATACCATGCTGTGAGGGAGGTTTGGACATTGCAAATCTGTTTGATTTAAAATCCTAGATGATCATTTAAGCGAGATATCGTGAAATTTGTTCCACATGTGCAAAGTTAGACATAAATTTTCTGTTATTCTCATGCTAAACATGTTGATTTGTTGCGGCATCTTCAATATTTTACCTACCCACACAGCACATGAAATTTCCTAAATATTTCTGAAATATTTCATTGAAATTTTGAAATATTCCAATGCGAAGTCCTTGAAATATTGCTGAAATTAGGTAAATGTCCGCCTATAAGAAATATTGCCGTGTAATGTTGCTGAAATATTTCATTAAAATATTATAGAAAAATTCCATTTAAATGCTGCGCACTGGTCGATCTCAGTTTCTATGGCCTGTACAGCTGCGCAGTAGTTTTTAATTTTCCAGGATCCTAAGGTGTTGAACATGTTAGAAAATAACGATTGATTTCATATTTTAAAAAAGTTTCTAACTTTTTTTGAAATGTTTCCTGAATATTGCAGAGTTTTCATGTGTAATATTGCAGGAGTATTAAAGTGTAATATTTCAGCAAAATTGCACGGCAATATTTCTTATAGGCGGACATTTTCCTGTTTTACTCAACATTTCATGAACCTTGCATTGAAATATTTCAAATCTTTCAATGAAATATTCATGAAATGTTTAGGAAATATAATGTGCTGTGTAGGTAGATTGATTTTCCCCTCTGATTGAATGAATGAATGTTTAAAATGCAAAAATCCATCGGCGTGTGAAATTTTTTATTTCTATTTTCTATTAGTTATGCCATATTTATTATTTATTTAACTATTTACAATTTCACTAAAAATAATTTAGGAGAGAGGGCCCCAAGATATATATAGTTTTGATTTTCTGCTCTAGAACACAAATATTTAAAAATGGTGCATATCGTATGAAAGTTACACAAATAAGGTATCTTTTGGCCATAAAGAAAAAATTTTAATTTGCAAACAAATATTTTTTAAAAATGGAAATTTCGATTTGAAAAAATCGAAATGTCCCTAAGATGGACACCATCATAGAATGCATTGAAAAACGGGTAAAATAAAAACTGAACATCATGTAATTTATTATATTTTTTGAAAGTTCTAACAATTTTAACTGTTATAAATTAAATAGCATTTAAAAAAAAATAATTTTAATGGCTATACAAAGAATGTCAAATAACGATCAGAACTGTCGGTATCTATATCGACAGATTTCAATTCTCCAGATTGATAACTACACAGTTTTGAAGTAGGAAAATAAAAAATTTCGAATATCAGGCTCAGAGTTATAAGAAGAAAAATAATTGTTTTCGCTTTTTGTTTATATAAAATAAGCTTCATCTAAACAAACTACATCAGTAAAAAATCTTGGGGCCCTCTCCTAACTACAATTATTAAAGAAGCATACGTCGAATGCCAAAGAGTATACTGAAAATAAAAACAAATGAAATTTTCCTTATTTTAAGTTGCACTTTAAAATTTGCAAAAAATAAAAAACAATTTTCGAGAAAACGAATATTAGAAAAACTGTTCTTTAACATGTTCATTTACACGTTCATGCATCTCTATGTATAAAATTCAGAGTGAAAACTTTAAAGGTAGCACAGTTTATTTATATTATATAAATAAAAATGCAAAAAAGTTAATAAAAAATATAATTAAGAATATGAGAGTATTTTCTCGATTTACTTTTTATAAATCTAAAAATTTGTAATATAAAAATATTTGCATGATGTAAGTTTCTTTGTCATGCCACAAGATGTTTTATTCGAAAGACTGCCATTTTATTATTTGATTGCCTGGTTTTGCGAGAGCTTGTTTCCATTGGTCACTATAAGTTCCTCCAACTTCTGGGCCAATAGCAAAGTGTCCAACTGTAGTTTTTTTTCCTGAAATAAAATAATTATTTTTAATTCTAAATTTGCAAATCTATATTTTTTTGTCGATTTTTTAAAAATTTTAACTTAAATTTTTTGTCCCTATTGAAAATCCCCACATGGGATCCTATATATGATTCCATATAGGTTCCTTTATAAAAACCGTTATGAAATCCTAGGTCGTGTCCGAATTTCATATTATGAAATTCGGACACGATTTAGTGTATGATTTCATGTAGGAATTTATGATGTTGTTTCTACATTGAAATCTATGTGAATTCCTACATTATTTCCTATAATTTTTCTGGCATATTATTTGTGTCAATTTCCTTCATAATCAACTCACATCAAATCTTATAAAAAATATCATATAAAATTCTAAAGATTTCCTTATATGAAATCTTACATACAAGTTTTAATATAGGAAACCATATGGGATTTCATGTGCATTCTTACATATGATTTCACATGGATTTGAACATAGGAAATCACTGGGATTTCATGTTGGCTGTTTTATACAGAAGGCAGTTAACAAAAATTAAAAATTATTTAATGAAAAATTAAATAATATTACTGCAATTTATATGAAAAAAAAATTGTGCTTTGCAATACACCTTCTGAATTAAATTCTCAGCTTATATAGTATTCAATAATGATCTCAACTGTGAGAAAAAAAATTATCACCATCTGGCGGCGGAAGAGTGGAATTATTATTTACATTTACATTTCCTATGTAGGAATCCATGTGAGAACATATATGGGATCTTATGTAAGATACTACATATACGATTTTACATAGATTCCTACATATATGATGGAATCCTAGAATCTTAAGATTTTTTAACAAAAATTTTTTATTTTTATTTATTTATTTTACATCACAAATAAATAAATAAATAATAAATAAATAAATAAATTTTTAACAAAAAATTTATCAAAACAACGAAATGTAAAGAATTATTAATTAAAAATTGAATTATTTATTGTAAAATATGAATTTAAAGTGCTGAAATCTTAATTTTTTAGCCATTAGAAAATATGAAAAAAAACATAGAATTTATCATAAAAATAAAAAATAAATGTTCAAATTTACTAAGAATGAATAAATGTATCATTATCAAGTGATATAATTATTTAAAGATGTGAAATAATATATAAAATATGATATTCAAGAGCATCTGTCTACCTAATTTTGCGATTTTTATTCATTAATTATAAATAATAGGAACCATTAAATTAAATAATAACATACCAAATATGAAGTTCTTGTTATAAAATTTTAGAATTTCTTTGCTCTTTTCTTCTCTCTTCTTCATAAGTATAAAAAATTTAAAACCAAAATAGCCACTTTATTCCTTTCCCTTTTTTTGAACATCAATAACTTTCTTGGAGAAAAATAAAAAAATATGGGTCTTCGAAAATTATTTAAATGGACACGAAATATACATACACTAAAAATTTCACGTTATTCCCGAAGCTATTTTCGAAGATAAAGATGATTAAAAATTTTTGTATTTCTGATGCTATATTTTTTAAACTTAAGAAGAGAAGAAAAATGCAAAGAAATTGTAAAATTTTATAACAAGAACTTCATATTTGGTATGTTTTTATTCAATTTAATGGTTCCTATTTTTTATAATTAATGAATAAAAACCGCAAAATTAGGTTGACAGATGCCCTTGAAAATCATATTTTATATGTTATTTCACATCTTTAAATAATTATATCCAATTGATACATACATTTATTCATTCTTAGTAAATTGATAGTTTTCAGCACCTACCATACTTTAAATTCATATTTTACAATAAATAATTAAATTTTTAATAAAATTCTTTTCATTTCGTGATCTTGATAACTTCAAAATCATTCATGCAAAGTATTATAATTTTTAAAAATTAGTTAGCAACGACTTTAGTCGAAATATAATGGATTGACCCAATTTTATTTTAGTAAGTTGGACAAATAATTATTTAAAAATTAGCTCATACTGGCAATTGTTTGCTAGGGGAATCGTTTTGAAATAGAATGCCTGACATAAAAGTTTAATAAAACGTTTTTTCTTACATAATATCAAAAAAAATTAAGTATAATTTTTATCTTCTTTTGACATTAAAAATACTTTGTTAATATAAATATGTAAAAATTGAATTAATATATAATTATTAGAAATAAATTTCAAATGTACCAGTATTCTTCCACTATATTAACTCTATTGAGTATATTGACAACCAAAATAATTCTAAATACAGAAAATGAGCCGTTGGATTCTAGAATGGCACGTAAATTTTTTCGGCCGAAAAACGAAGACCCCTCGACCCTCAAAATTTATTTTTCGAATTTTAATATTTTTCAAACATTATTCTTATACAGAATTCGATTGCGCATCTTTTTTTCTTAATAAAAACTTTCTATCTTTTTCCGGTTTCGAAATATAAGAGAAAAACTGGTTTTTTGGAAACGTAAAATTTAATTGTTTTTTTGACTTCAACTCGCGCTAGGTCAGTCAATTTTACGAGTTTTTCAATGAGGGGGGGTCAATTAATTTTTGACAACAAGCAGAAAAAATGTCGCTAATGTATGCAAAAGTGTGACATGGGGGTCTAAAGTAATCTAAAATAGTGTGACGTAATTTATGGACAGCCCCTTAATAACTTTTTTATTTTTAATAAAAACTTTTTTTTAAGTAAGTCATTTTGATCCATATATTACTTTGTAAATTTTAATTTCGGATTCTAAGTGTTTGATTCTGCTTTCAGTGGGATCAGATATTTGAACAAAAGCAGCCTGCCAGTTTCTACGAGAGATATTTGTAAAAGTGAAAAATAAAGAAACCTTTGGTTCATCTACAAAAGCATTCTGTTTCCTACCTGTTCCCTTAGCCTTCCGCTTCGTAAATAAAATATAGGTTTAAAAGATAATATAATATAATAAGTTTTGTGCATCTCCTTCTGAAACGTAACAGTAATAATAAATAAAATAAATAATTTTATTTCGACTAATTAGTTTTGCAATTTTTTGATTAAAATCACTGGAAGGCGGAGGAGTAATTATGATTTTTAAATCATTATTATTAACATCAATATTATTTTACACATACATATATAAATATATATAATTATTTATATTAATTAATAATTGTAATTTAATTATGATCAATTGAGAAAAACAAGACTTTTTGTAGATATGCGGGTTCATCAGTAAATTGCATTCGTACCTACAAAAGTGGGGGTATACTCATATTTTCCCTTTGAAGGTATTGTCAAAAACCGACAACCGATGGATCGACCGGCAACAAGACACGAACGCTCTTTCCCTTTTTTTGATCCTTTTAGCTTCCGCGTGGAGGAAGCTTTGTAGTCCTTTCGTTTATAAAATTTTTAAAAATGGTGAAAACAAATTTTCCTCTATATAGAGACATGTTATATGAGATCCTGATCAATTGTCCGGATGTATGTATGTGTGTGTGGATCATTTTTGTGAACACCATATCTTTAGAAGGTTTTAATGGATTTGGGTAAAATTTAGTAGGCTTATTTACCACATTTATCTCTCAAAAATGACGAGAGGATTTTTAAAAATACCCCAAAAAAATTTTATCGTCTTTTTTCCAAAAATTTTTTTTTAATTGAAAAATTTTTTAAATAGAAAAATTTAATGTAATATATTGTTAGCCCCAAGTCGAATGTACGCAACTTTCAAAGACATTTTGGAAACACAGAAAATTAAAAGGCATTAAAATAAGCTGTAACGCTTATTATTTTAATACCTTTTAATTTTCTGTGAAGTACGCAACTTTCACAGCCATTTTGGAAATCACGTAACTTTGTGGTGCAGAGCAGAATGTACATATAACTCTGAGAATCGTTTGGAACTCGCTTATGTTGGTTTTTTGTGTTTTTGCAAAATACAAATTACAATATTTCTGCTTGAAACATAGCAATAAAAAGTGTAAGGCAATGTTCAATAAAATCTCAATTATTTAATCTACACCCGCGTGAAAATGAAACTGGGTAAAATCATAAAAACCATGGGCGAAATCGATTGCCAAGGTAAATACGATTAGACCCATGGTTTAAACCTTGGCAAAAATCTCAAAAACCATTGCTTATGTCCGTTTCCCATGGTACAATCTCCCATAGGAAATTTTTTTTTAATTTTACGGATTTTGGAACATAGCTAAAAACTTGCGAACCATGGGAAACAATTTTTTAATTTCACGGATTTTGGACCATTGCATAAATCTTGCGAACCATGGGAAATTTTTTTTTCTTTTTTACGGAATTTAGACAATGGCTAAAAACTTGCGAACCATGGGAAAATTATTTTGTTTAATTTACGGATTTTTGACCATTGCAAAAATCAAAAATCATGTTCGCAAGTTTTTAACCATGCTCCAAAATCCGTAAAATAGAAAAAAAATTTCCCATGATTCGAAAGATTTTAGCAATGGTCAAAAATCCGTAAATAATCGTCTTCCTTACGTCAAGATGAATCGATTGGTATATGTATATAAAGTATAGATTTGAATGAAATTTATAGAATTAATAAAAGTTAAAAAATCAAAAATTCACATTTTAGCTTAAAAATGTTGTGTTTTCTTAAATTCATGTTTATATATGAAATAATTTTATTCCCTGCATTGAAACGAATTGGTTGATATATGTAAAGTATATATTTGATTTAAATTTTAATAATTAATAAAAATCGAAAGATCGAAAATTTATATTTTAACTAAAAAATTTTGTGTTTGTTTAAATTCAAGTTAATACATAAAATAATTGTATTCCTTGCATTGAAACGAATCAATTCGTATATATAAAGTATATTTTACACCCAAAATTAATTAAAATTTTCTTAATTTTTCAAAAAATTTAATTAATTTAAAACAATTTTCAACTCGAATTTTTTTAAATCAATCAATTGAATCGGAGAAATTCATAGCTTCCTCCACGAGGAAGCAAATTTTTTGCTTCACACAATGAGAAAGCAAAATTTTTATGAAATCAACATAAAGGACCCCGTCCTTGTTTTTGCATAGGTACTCCCATCGTGACGAAAAGTTTCAAGTAAATAGTCAAGACCGAACAAAATTTCCGGTGCCAACTTGAACGCCAAACCCTTCGATTTTGCTGGGAAATTTTGGTGGATCGTCTGACGAACAGGGGAAGAACACATCAGACAATGAAAAAAGTCGGTCATTCGTGTTCGCGCTATGTACGCCTAGTGGATACGCACCTTTAGGAGTGGCATTCGTTGACCAAAATGAGGTGACTTTTTTTTAGTTAAAATTTTTCGTTCTTAAATTCGCCACTGTACCGCTGTTTAAAGACCATAAAAACAAAAGAATTCTTTTGATAATTAAGAAGTAGACTTACCAAGCTTGTTTTTTGAAATAAATTTTATTACAAAACTGACATCCTTCAGAGCACCTTCATAAGGGTTTTCGGCAATTACTTTAGCCATTTCAGGTGCAAACTTTAAGGAAATACAGGGTGTAAAGCGATTGCTTTTCCAAAAATGAGTCACTTTACCTCCCTCGATAACTGACATTTTAATATACATTTGCCCTCTTAGCATTTCATGTTCATGCATTGTTTGCATAGAGCATCTCAATCGGAGCAGAGTTAGCACCAAGGATTCTCCACTTCCATCTTTCTTATCGCTTTTCTCTTGACACAAGGAGATCTCAACTTGTCCTTTCTTATTCTCTCGCTATAAGTTCAAAACACATGGCAATAATTAACACAAGTTTGACCAACCAAAACCAACAGTTTTATAGTTTTATGAAGTTACAAAAATTATTTTACTTAGGTTTTTTTTTCATTCCCAGTGGGTAGAAAACCATGTTCGTTCAAAAAACGTTTCTAGAACTTTTCAAGTCACCAAAAAAATGTTCTAGAACCTTATTTTAACTGTTCTTAAAATGTCTTAGAACATTATTTGTCGGACATGAAACGTTCTTAAAACATTTTTATAACGAACGTGGTTTTTTGACTATTGGGTAATTTCTTGAACCTAGAAATATTTTTTTTAACTTTAAAATTTTTTAGTTTTTCAACAAAGAAAATTTCAAATCATTTTCAATTATTTTTTTTGTATTTAGCCTGTGGGTCCATGAAAAAAAGGAAGAAATGATATTCTTTGGTTCAAACGTTTCCGCATCAGATCCCTACTGAAAAACCCCTTATGGGATTTCACATGGAAACCTTATTGGTTTCCATGTAGGATTCCATATGGAATTCAAAAATTTGACATTTTAAGAAATAAATTTTTTTGGCCATTTTGAAAACCGTAAGATATACACAAAATCTGACAAAATTTTGTGGTCACTCCATAAAGTTGTTTTTTATTTAAATACAAAATTCTATGTGGAATTTTATATTGGATCCTATATGGGATTCCACATGGGAATCCTGTATGGGTTTCCATGTAGAATCCCATATGGAATCCTACATGGCAATCACCCAATAAAAAAACTAATTCAGATGAATTGAAATGAATTAACTTTTTTTGGCAAGGTCCAATTTGTATTTGTATCTAAGCAAGATTCAGTGATGCCATTTGTATATTCAATTCAATTCGTACCAATGAGTTTTCATCGGTTGAGAATTCAAAAAATGACCAACTCGTCTATTGAATTTGTGCTGACGAATTGAAAAAAATTAAAGCTCAAAAGTTTGTTCAATGAATTAGTGCGAATAGAGAGTTTGGAAGTTAAATACAGCTTAGTCGAATTCAGGAGAATTGCAACATAGTTCCAATTCGAATTTGTCGCTAAGTAGGGTTCACTGAAGCCCAAGGTGTATTCATTTCAATTCAACTGAATTAGTTTTCATTTGTTGGGCAATAAGGGATTCCAAGTGGATTCTCATACCAAATCTTGTCCGAAATTCCAGTGTGTTTTTCTATGGGAACCTCCATGGATTCCCACATGGAATCCAATATAGATTTCCATGTTGAATTCCATATAAGTTTTTCCAGTAGGGATGTGATATTATGATTTACCAGTTTAATAATTATATTCAAAGTTCAATCATTGCGATGTTTAATTTTTTTTATTTAGAGTTTATAAACGTCGCATCGACTGCCAGGGTCATTAGCGACGGGTTGCGATGTTTAATGTTGAGTCCAGAATAACTTTCAATGAAGCAGTTAAGTGCATTAGCGAATCAGAAGTTGACCAATTAGAAATAGTCTCTAACGGTAAGTGACTTTTTCCACTAGAGACTTAAATTTGATTGACTCAAATTTATTCTACTAACCTGCTCCATGTGACCATATGCTCTTAGTTGGACATTCTGGACTTACCTTATAGTCCCAAGCACAAGATAGGTTCTCAAATAGCATGACTTCTTGCTGTGAGGTAAGGATATCTGTAGGGTTTGTAAGGTTACCGTCTAAGCTTACCACAACCTTACCATGTAAACTTACCACGACCTTACTGTGTAAGCTTACCTTAGCTTTATTGTGTAAGCTTACTGTAATGGCGGAAGTTTTAAGATGACCTCAAGTTTACTGAAGCTTACACGGTAACCTTACAAACCCTACAGATATCCTTACAGTAACCTCACAGCACCCGGCTGAAACAACTTGTACAAGAAAATGTACAAGTTTTTGTACATCTTCAAGAAATGTTCTTGAACAAGTTCAGCATCCGGAATTGAGACATGTAACATTTAATAAGTTATAATTATAAGACTCTTCACTTATGTATGCTAAAAATTATTGCGCAGCTGTAAAGGCTTAAGAAAACTACTGCGCAGCCATTAAACTTTTTAATTTTTAATTTAAAAATCATAAATGCACATGTACAAGAAAATGTACAAGTTCATTAATGAACATGTACAAGAACTTGTACTTTTTCTTGTACAAGTTTTTTCAGCCGGGCAAGAAGTCGTGCTATGTGGGTTCGTGAACGTGATATATATATATTATGTATATATGAATTGGAAAAAGAAAGAAGTATACTTCCCCTTTTCATCTTATGCAGCACGTTCGAGAATCTGTTGTGCTTAGGGCTTGAGAATCGTTTCATGCAAATGGTTCAAAGAAAAAAATAATGTTAAATAAGAATTCATACATACCCGGTCTTCAGCTCCAGTAATTCCGCTAGAAATGGCTTTCAGTGTTCTCCACATATCGCCAGTTGACACATCATTTTGATGTTTGGCTTTAATTGGTTTCGTGATGAAATTTCTAGAATCAAGGGGAACATTTGTAGCTCCAATGACTCGTCTCTTATCGAAAATTTTCCTTTCTGGAGAATTTTGATCAGCAACTTTGTCTGTTGTTTTGCTGAATATTTGACTGAAAAATTTATTTTTATTTGAATCCTGAGTAGTAGAAGATCCACAATTATCTTCTTTCTTTTTCCCACTTTTTTTGGTCAAGGAATTTTTTTCTTTTGTTTTAGTTTTCTCCTCATTTTCTTTTTTTTCAGTCGCAACTAATGGCTTGTCTTCTAAAATAGCATATAGAGTGGCCACAATGAACCTAGATCCACCTAGCTCTTCGTCCACAACCTTAGTTTTGCCAAACTTAGATTTGGTTTCCTTTCGAAGATTAAAAACAAATTCTTCATTCCATTGAGGCCAGGACTCGTTTTTTGTTGTCGTTTCATATTTTTCTTTTCCTGGCAACAATTTTACCTATTTAACAAACATTAATTTTAAATAAATATAAAATAAATCAGAATTTTTTCGTATATCATGGTCGAAAATACACATATGTAAATGTACCTTTGAAAGTTACCAGCGTCCCTATTTAAAAGATGAGCGTAAATACTACTGTAAATACGACTCATATGTACATATGCTCGCATATGATAAAAGACTTAAGGAACTATTGTTAAAATAGAAATTCTTCTTGAAATTCCATGTCTATTGTATCGCAAGCTAGTGATTATTAAGGGGACTTTCTGGTTTAGAATTGACAAAAAGACACGTTTTAAAACTTTGATTGTAAGAAAAGTATTAAAGATATTGCAAAAATTCTTTTTGGACATTGTTGCACATTAAGTAGAGAAAATTTTAAAAAAATATTTGAGTGTGTTTAGTTCAATTTCGTAGCTGTAGGTGGCGTCTTCCAAAAGGTACCTTCTTTTAGTGCACTTGATTCCGGACAACCAGTAATCTTCTTCTTCTTCTTAAATGACTTGAGGCATAACCAACTGTCAGAACAACCATAAAATGAAGAAGAGGGTTAGAATGTGTATCAAGCTTCGTACATAAATTGAGTGCTGCAATAGATGCATTAAGGCAAGTTTAAAAAGCTGGGACTTCCAACAGCAAAGCGGTGCACCGTTGAGTGCGTATGGATCTCAATGGCGCCAAATTCAAACCAGACTGAAAGTATAGCCGTGTGGGAAGACGAAAAGAAAAGGGAGAATGGGAAGTAACTCCCCTGAGACAAAGTTAATTGTAAGACAATTTTAAATTTTAAACTATTTTTTTTTTTTTTTAAACTATTTGATTGTCCCTGCATATAAAGCCTCCCAGCTCCCTTACCACTTCGTCGTTAGGGTTAAAGACAAGATCGACAACTGAGACATCACGCGGGTTTGTGTTGGGGAATTTTTTATTGAGAAAGCAATAGAAATTAGGCCTATAAGGGCCCAATCTAGGGCAGTCGTGTAAAATATGATGGAGGGTCCGTCTTTCGACGCCGCACAGGCATCCTGCGGCCACCTCCCAGCCTATTCGTTCAAAATGGTCGGCAGTATACATATGAAAAAATCTGAGACGCGTTATAGTGTTAATCCAATTTCTTGGTAAGGAGAGATCGCCAAACCAAGGCTTAACCGATTTGATTGTCACCCTAGACAGGTATCGATGGTTACTTCGATCAACCTCAGTGAAAGGCCAGAGGTGGGAGGACCATGAGAGCCGATCAGGAATCAGGATGGTCTTGTTGATATCGCTCAAGGGGGCACCAAAGCTAATTCTATTACCATGAAGGTTAGCCTCTCGACAAGTCGCGTCAGCTCTTTCATTTCCCGAAATGCCCATGTGTGAGGGAACCCACATAAAAGAGAACCGGAGATCCCTAATAGAAGGTAAGTCGAGAAAGATTCGATCGCGGATTTTATAAACAAGTTCAGGGTTGTCTTTAAAAAGGAGACAGTCCCTGATTCTGTTGATCGCTGAAAGAGAATCCGAGACAATCAGAGTTTTGGAAGAGCGAAGTTTTTGAGAGTACAAAATAGCTCTGAAGATTGCATAAAGCTCTGCTGTAAGAATGGTAACGAAAGGTTGAAGTGGAGTTCCACACGAAAAATCGCGGCTCTCATCCACAAAGGCGGAAGCAGCGCAGTTGGTGTTTGGATTAAGGGTTGCATCAGTAAAAATAATATGAAAATCTGAGAAGTTGGTGGATATGAGATCACGAAATTGTTTTTCAGGGTTGGAAGAGGTCTGAAGCAGAAGGCCAGCCTGAGTATCACAAGGGACTAGAGCAGACAAGGAGCGCCAGCTCCAATCAAAATAAGACGGTTTTTTAGTTTTGAAAAATGATATCGCAATGGGGGAAATGCGGCGAAAAGAGTTAAGCAGGGATATGTTACCAGTTTTAAAGGAGAAGGAGCCCGACGACTCCCTTTCATCCAACAAACGGATTTTGGGAATAAGCGGGTTCTCGCTCCAAGACAGGTTGCGAACAAAAAAGGTGTTAGAAAGATGCGAGCGTCTGATGTACAAAGGGACCTCATCGGTTTCCAATAGTAGCAAATAGGTAGGGGTTGATTTTATTGCTCCCAAGACAGTTCTCAGGGCAGCCGACTGGACTCTGTCCAGAATTTTCAAATTTGAGACAGATGCGTCTGCGAAAAGGGGAGCACCCCAGTCCATAATAGCTCTGATTAGGTTGCGGTAGGCAAGTAAAGCAATACTGGGGGAGGTGCCCCAGGTTGCTCTTGATACAATCTTAAGAATACCGAGAGCCCTCGAAGCCTTATCGGCCAGCATGTGGATGTGGTCCCTCCAGGTGAGACGTCTGTCAAGTAAAATACCAAGGTGTTTCATGGTTTTATCACATGGGATATCCACGTCAGAGATGTTAATATGAAGGTGGTCGAAAGTTGCCCTCGATCTAGAGAAGACACAAGCAGTAGTCTTCGAAGGGGACACATCCATTCCTAAGGTCTTAAGCCAATCCACAAGGTCTCGGAGAATAGTATTGACCTTACCCGAGATGTCCTCATCCTTATTAAATCTGATGTATAATAGGAGGTCATCTGCATACATTGTGAACTTCATGTCAGGCGGGAGTATGTTAAGAATGTTACGGAGATATAAATTAAAAAGAATCGGAGAGAGAACACCTCCCTGGGGAACACCCACACCACAGACCTGTAAGTCGGAACCGTCAGGTCTGAAGGAGATGTATCTCTTGGTGGTCATAAAGTTGATAAAGTTAATTGTGTGGGGATTAATGTTTAAATTTTTTAATTGATCGATTAGGATATTGGGACGTACATTGTTGAAAGCTCCCTTGATGTCAATTGAAATAGCGAGCGTGCTCTGGGATTTCGCGAAGCCATTGTAGATATCGGTAACAAATGTTGCCACCGAATCGACGCCGGACCTCCTCTTACGGAAACCATATTGGTGGCGGGGGATAAGGCCGCGGGCTTCCACCTCATGTTCCAATCTCAGTTGGATGAGTTTTTCGAATATTTTCGAAAAAAACAACCAGTAATATATAAATGCAAACGGGAATCTCTTCATAAAGTTTTCGTAACATAATACATTGAGCCAGGACTATCAAACAATTTTTGATTACAATTTTTGTTTTTTTAAATATTTTTTAAAAAACGTTTTGGGACAGTAATTTTACGATACTAAGGAACATTTTCAAGCAAAAAAAGTCGATTTTTTTGAAATTCTATACCAGAAGTCCCTTTAACCTAATTTTTCTGACTTAAAATTTCTACAACTTGATTATGTTGATTAATTGATTGCATAATTAAAGTTTATAATATAAAAGTTTAGAACCTCTCATATTTATATTTTCTGGTTGCATATTATACCTAAAATGTTTAAATAACTAAAAATTTTTTTAAGTGACAGAATTATTTTTTAAAATGACATTTTACATCTTTTTCAGAATGATATGTTCTGACTTTTGTAATTTTCTTTTAGGTTGCAAAGATGGAAGAATTCGTTATCTACGAGAAAAAACGTTTAAGTATCGCCAGCGTTTACTTTTTTATAGCAAAATGATGTTTACCATTGTTATTGTTTATATTGATTGATAACGACGATCAAAATGTTACTAGAGTTTTGGTTTACTTACCTTTACTAAATAGCTATTAACTCGTGTAAAGCCAAAGGTCTGAGGTAAATGTCTTGCGCCTAAAACAGTTACGCTTAATGTTTTAAGATTCTGTGAATGTTCAATTCTTAAACCGATTTCTGGCTCAAGATGAACTGTGCGCTCCAGTGGCGCCGATACATTCTTGATACTGGTGTCCAAAAAACTTTTAATTCTTGCTATCGCCATTATTGAAGATTTTCATAAACTTTGAGTTTCACATCTGCAACGAAAATTATTTTTCAATTATTTAACATAAAGTATTTGAATGAAATAGATCAAATTGTAGTCACGCTAGTTGCTCGATTCCAAACACAGAATTCCTGCTACGGTCGCTCGCCCCGTTTATTTTTACGAAAATCATGAAATTCATTACTTAAGATCTAATTCTTTCATCTCTGTATTATATCTTGACGATTTTTTGTTGGTTGGAGAATCAAGGGAAAAATGTATCTAAAATATAGCCGTAACTCGAGAAGTCCTTGAAAGGTTAGACTTGGTTGTAAATGTTGAAAAAAGTTCACTTAAGCCAAGTGGTAAAATTCTTAGGTTTTTTATGGGATTCAGAAAACATGCCAATTCGCTTAAAAGCTGATAAGAGACAAAATATTCATTCTCGCGCTCTGAAATTTCGCGAAAAATCTTTCTGTAAAATCAGAGATATTGCTTAATTTTTAGGCATTTTAGTATAAGCGTGTCCAGCTGTGCCACATGGCCCTTTATACACGAAAATCTTGGAGAGAAAAAAATTTTTACTCTTAATGAATAGTAACGGTGATTTTGAGAGGAAAATGAAAATTTCTTCAGTGTGGATTGATAACATTTTTTCCACTGATAATTTAATAAGAACAACTAATTATGAGATAGAAATTTTTACAGACGATTCTCTGTCCGGATGGGGTGCTGCATGCGACGAACAATCGACTCATGACTGGTGGAGTAGGCAACAGCAAGAATCTCACATAAATTACTTAAAACTCGACGCCTCCAGTTGATAAAATGCTTATTTAAAGTCAAATGTAATATATAATCCTAACTCAAAATAAAATGCAATATGAAGTTGCTTAAAAATTTCTGAAATAAAATTCTTTTTCAATTTTCAATGCAAGAAAATGCTTATTCACAATTGCCTGTTAAAAAAGACAAGTGAAGTCAGGGTCGAATAAAAATTTTTATAACATTTCTTGTCATATTGGAAACTGACAGTTTAATTTTATTTTGCATATGAAATGTTTCTGAAATACAAATTAATAAAATAAGTAATAAATCAATTTAATTAATCATGGATTCTAGAGAATCAACTTCAAGCGGTAAGTATTTAAAATAAGAATAATACAGATATATTGATTTTGATAACCACGAATTTTTATTCTTTTTGTAAACCGAATTTATGATTATATAGGGAAAAAATGTTTAAAAAATTTTTTTGTAATGTGAATAAAGATAAAATTCAATTCCTAATTTTCAGAAATTAAAAAATGGTTTTCATTCTATTATTTAAATTGAATAAGTTTAATTTAATAGAAAAATATATTAAAATAAAAATGTTTTAATAATATTATAACAATTAACACAACAGAGTTAAAAATTTTAATAGAGAACAATTTAAAATGTGAGTTTTATATGTAAAATTTATCGTGTTACAGAAGTATTACAAAAAACAAAAAATTTATTTGATATTGAAATGGAAACCATCATTACCATTGGCAACAATGCTTTTTGTGAACCATTTTCAAATATTTCGTCCAGTGACACTCATTCATCATTTTTCAATTTTGATATTCCACAAAATGAATCAAATCTTTTAGAATGTAGCAATTTGAAACATGATAATAATGATAAAAACTTGGAAGCTATGAATTTTTCTGACGATAATAATGAATTGGAAACTATAAAATTTTCTGACGATAATTTGGCCTTAATTGATGTTCATTTATCATCTGAAGAAGAAATTTATACTTCTGACTCTTATGAAACACAAGATATTTCATTCGATATTGACAATCCTGAAGTACACAGTAAAAAGTAAATTATTTTATTAAGACAAATGTCGAACTAAGTTTGTCTAAGAAATAAGATCTATACTAAATTAAATATAATTAAGTATAATAAATAAATGTAAAGTATAATAATAAAAATAAAAAAAATAAAATAAAAAAACATATCTGTTCAGATAATCAGCAAAGGCTGTCTTCAAAAAGTTACAGCTTAAAGTGAAACTCACTTCTATTTTTTAAATAAAATTTTCTTTTTGCAGTATAATTGAATCAAGTAGTAGTAATAAAGAAGAAAAAAGACAGAGTGATGAGACGAAAACTTTATCAAGAAAAAGAATTTGCAATAAAGAAAATTGGAAAAGGAATTCTACAAAAAAAGCAGCGAATCGTGGACTAGAATACACATCATTATTCACAAAAAAAATCGTTCTTGCTCGTTCAATGAAAAGAACTTGTGGCCCTGGTTGTCAATTTAAATGCGAGACAAAAATTCCCGAAGATGCAAGAAAAACTTTTTTAAAGACTATTGAAGTATTCCAGAACACACCAGAAAATATGACTTTCTTCTGAGACACGTCATCAAAGGGTCAGATATGAAGGAAAATGTGGGAAAAAAATTCTACAAGAGATTTCTCCAGAACGTACACCATAAATGATAGAAATAAAAAAATTGTTGTTTGCAAAACAATGTTTTTAAATACTTTAGGTATTAGTAAACAAATAATAGACACTGCTTTTAAGAAAATAAAAAATGAACAGGTAGATTTAATTGATAAAAGAGGAATGTCAAAGTTAAAACCAAAAACTGTGGATGTAAATGTCACAAAAGCGTAATAGAACACATTAATATGTTCCCAAGAGTGGAATCTCACTACACTAGAAAAGATTCTAGTCGGGAATATTTAGAAGAAACCTTAACATTGAGCAGAATGTACATTATGTATGTCAACGTGATGAAAGAAAATGAAAAGGATATTGCAACTATAAGCACCATTATTTTAATACAAAATTTAATATTAGTTTTTTTAAACCCAAAAAAGACCTGTGCAACACATGTGAAGGATACCAGAACGCTTCAGAAAGTGATAAAGAAAAATTAAAAAGTAAATATCAAGTTCTCATTGAGAATAAAGAATAAAAATGTGTCTATGATAATTTTTGATTTTCAAAAAGTACTAACTACTTTGAAAACAGAAGCATGTTCTTTGTATTATAAACGTAAATTGTCAGTATACAATTTTACGATCTATGATGTTATACGACATGAAGCTACTTGTTATGTTTGGAGTGAAAACGACACCAAAAAGGGATCAAATGAAGTAGCAAGTTGTTTATTTCATTATATTGAGACAAAATCTTCTTTAGGCATCACGAGTAGAATTTTCCATGTGGTCAGACAATTGTTCCGGGCAAAACAGAAACGGAAATGTATTTTCTATGTACGTGTATGCCTCTTGTAAATTCAACGTAAAAATTAAGCACTCATTTTTAGAAGTCGGTCACACAAAAAAAGAAAGGGGGTTCAGTACACGCTACTATTGAAAGACACGCTAAAGGAAGGCAAATTTTTACTATGAACGAATGGTGTGAAATTATAAGGGAGGCGAAATTAACAAAACCAATTTATGAAGTCATAAACGTGACATATGATATGATTAAAGACTTTAAAGATTTGTCTCCTAGAATGATTGGTGCAAAAAATTGCTTAAAAAAAATAAAATTCAGTTGCTTCCATTACAAATTTCAAAATTAAAACAAGTATATGTGTGCAAAGAAAATCCTAACCAGCTGAAATTCAAAACAGCTTTCAATATGGAATACGAAACACTTGTTTCAAGAATGAAAAAAATAGTGTTAATGTAAAAAAGTACATTCCAAAAAGAGCGTATTCTAGTTTTCAAGGACTTGCTTCAACGAAAATTAAAGACCTCAAAACGTTGTGTAAAAAAATATTATACCTGCAAAATACCACGATTATTACTCATCTTTTCTGGAAAAAACGTCCGCCAACAAAAATTGTATAACAAGTGATGAAGAAAATTCAGATGAATAGTAAATAAGCATTTAGAGTTTTTATTTTTAAAAAAGATATTTAAGAAGAGACTTCTTTCAGACCTATCTGTATTATATTTACTGTTAACTACTTTTTGTTAAACTCTTCAGTGTTTAAAAAAATGTATTTTCATCATATTTATATGTATAAATAAATAATTAATTATATTAATTTCGGTTAATTATTGTAAAATAAAAAAAATTATACGATATAGTCAACGACTTTGGTTTGCAATTTATTACAAATTTTGTTTTTTCCATAAACTATATTTTGAAAATAATATATAAGCTCAAAATAAATAAAAATATACTTTCACTTTGCTTAAAAGTAATTAGAAAACTTATAGCATTTTTAATGAAAAAATTACCTATACTTAATTAATGTTTTATTTATATGTTTTTTTTTAAATTTTAATGTTTGTTTATAATAAAATTATTTTAAAAATATGCTACTTTAAATATTTTGTTTTTTACCTATATTATTTTTTTAAATAATTAACAAAGTCAGCGTTATAATATTAAGAAATATTAATAACACAGCCCCACAAAAAAAAAAAAGTGTCATGTACTTTTGACCGGAATACCCTAACCCTATGTATTTTGACACGCTGAACACGAATCCGAAGTCCGTTTTGCTCCATCACGTCAGGATTTTTTTCTAACCTCAAAAAACATGTCGGATTTTGTAAAGTAGGCGATTTTTTTAAAAATTGATGTATTAACTTCAAACTTGGTATCTGGGGTTTTTTTGTGTCGCTGATTACGAATCTGAAGTTAGATTTTCAAAATCCAAAATGGCGGATCCAATATGGCGGACGAATTTTGAAAAAATTTTAAGATTTACTTCAAACTTGGTATCTAGGGGTTTTTTGGGTCGCTGATTACGAATCTGATGTCAGATTTCCGAAATTCGACATGTCTGATTCAATATTAAGGAATTATTTTTAAAAAATTGTCAGATTATTATGAAATTTGGTATCTACAGGTTTTCTAAGTTGCTGACAAGTAACACTAGGGAAGTGCCATACGACGATTTTTCTGAAACTTGGCAGTTTTGTAGTTTTTTAAAAACAATTTGACACGTATGTTTTGTTTTTCACCAAAAGCTGATTTATGGGGGGAACTACCCCTTGAATTTTTTTTTGGTAGGGGGACATTATTTTACGAAATTTTT